GATATTTACCATCACTCTTGGTCAAATGAGAACGATGACTAGACACAACAGAAGGAACGTTTTGGAGATAGGGGGTCAATAGAATTTGCGTACGTCGCTAATTGGCTGTCTGTAGCGAAGAAGAGGGGGGAAGGAGAGAGAGGGAAAGAGAGCTCACAGAGATAAATCCCTTCATGTTGACATCAGAAAGCGACACCCCATCAGCGTCAACCCTGTTGGCCATCACAAGATCCAGCACGTCCGGCCTCCCCTCGCGCTCGTGCGCCGTAGCTTCGTGCTCTGCCATGAGCGCCGTGATCAGAGCGTCTAACTTCACATGCACCCGTCGCAGCTGCCGCTGCACTCCCTGCAGGTCCATCCACGCAATCGCCGGCACAAAGTCGCCGATACTGAACTTCCCCGACCAAGCTAGCAGCTCCGTGATGGCGTCCTTGAACTGGTTTGATTCCTCTCCCTGCGACTCAAACACCCGCCGCGACAGCATTACCTGCCCGATGATGTTGGCGCTGGCGCACACCATTGCTTCCGACACCATAACTGGCCGCGAGTTCCGGCTGGACTCGAGCATGGCGCGGAGCATGCGACCGATTTCGTCGCAGCGAACCGGGGACCACTCGGTCAGCGCCTTGCCGCCGAGAAAGTGGAGGTTAGCGAGCTTGCGGAGGAGCTTCCACCGAGGCCCGTAGTTGGCGAACACGAAGTCCTGGCCGTCGTAGGTGACGTCCTTCCCGCTGATGGGCAAGGGGCGGTTGGCGAACTGAAGGTCGAGCGCCTTGAGAAAGGAGCGGGAGGCGCCAGCGGAGGACGCAACTACGACCCCTTTAGTGCCCATCCTGAGGTACATGATGGGGCCGTAGCGCACGGCGAGGTTACCGAGGGAGGCGTGGGGCATCGGACCGATCTGCGGCAACGCGCCGAAGATTGGAACGCCCGAAGGGCCAGGGGGGAGCCGGAGCCGACGGATGGACTGGAACCTGCGGCGGAGGAGGAGGTGGACGACGACTCCCAAGAGGATGCCGGCAACGAGAACGATGTCGAGAGCCATCGAGATCTTTGTGGTGCGCAGACGTTGGTATTAGAAGTGGGTTAGTGATCCGTATATGTAGACAGAGAGCTAAGCACGGCAACGTAAAGCCTACGGAAGGGCTGATGTCATGTTTGGTGGTCTCAGCGACACCTGTCGTCGGAAAGAGTTGCTTAATTGAAACCCACAATTCAATTGTAAGCTTCCGCAGGTTTGATGGTAAGTCAATGTTAGGGTAGTCTTTGGTTGTCCAAGTAAATTCGGATCTAACATGATTTGTTTTTTGAGCTGATTTTAAAATGAACTCGTATGAGAGTCATTCGAATCCTACAAAGCTGTATCTAGATAATTTCAATAATAACCCTTTAATACTTAAGTTATTTGACCAATATGTTCATTGTCCTCTACATTGCATTCTTCGGGTATGCTCATCTGGCTTCATCTTATTGGAAGTTTATGTGATGCTAAACAGTGGATAAGTGATTTGGCCACGTGGTTTTACTATGTCGGCCACATGAAGTCTGCTAATTGACCATATATAACTTGTTAGTTGGCCACATGGAGCTGATATGTCTTCAATATGGAACCGTGATGTTAGCCATGTAGAGTCAGCTTGTTAAGCATCTTGCCATGTGTTGGCCAGATGGCTCCATCATGGTGGTCATGTGGAGCCGAGATAGAGTTGAATTTGATGTGAAACCGGAGGATCGATCGACATGCCAAAGATTGGATTTCAAGCTAAAGGTTCAAACATCGTGCTAGAAGGGTTGAATTTGCACTGAAAGATTTGGATGTTGTGAGAAAGTCAAAATACTAATGGAAATGAGTGACATACCAAAGGAAAAGGGTGATGTGCTGAAAGTTCAGACAAAGTGTCGAAAGATCGGACGACATGCCAGATGAATAGAAAATGTGTCGAAAGCTTCAAATATATGTCGGATGAGTATTGACTTATCAAAGTCTTGATCAAGATTATTTTGAGCCAATTGTGTTCGTATGGAATTAAAACAAAGTCAACTTTTCAAGAAAGCTATTAAGCTTGAAGCCAAGCTGAATTAGATCCGTTAGAAGCCCAAATAGGTGGCCTAAACTAGGCCTAGGCGATGGTACCATCATGCTGAAGCAGTAATACTGCTTGAGTCAATCGACAAGTATTGTTTATAATTTACCAACTTTTTAACAACGGTACCGCCTTTGACGATATTAGTACTATATATGATGATAGTTGTAGAGAAATCTTAGGGGGCATCATATGTGTGGTAGAAGAACATAAAAATAAAATCCCAAAATTTTCAAAGATGTGTTTATTATCGTGCGAAGATTGGTGCACAAAAACTCGCGAAACATAAATCCACATGTGAAATAGTATTTTATCTATGGAGATCGTATATCCTTGAATCCCTACAGATCTATAGGAGTGGATAGAGGAGGTCAAGTGTTCTCCTCTCTAGCGATGATCCACACAGCAGGACTACAACGACGCTCCTCAAATCTCTAGGCCTGCTATCTGAGGAGGAGAAGGAGAGAGAAGAATAGGAGATAGTAACCCAACGAGACTTTAGCTTATGAACCTTTTGTTCCCTCCTATTTATAGAAGTCTGTTATCAATTTAACCCTAATGGATCCTGCCCTATTGGGTATTGGATCTCCATTCAACTACCCAAGCTTCTTAGATTATTGAATCTCTATCCAATAATATCTCATTGGCTCTTCTTGGATCTCATCTATAGGATCCAATAATTCATGGGCTTATTGGATATCTAATAAGATAGGGGCTCCGATGGATATCTCATATCTGAACCTCTACTCGTCGCAACGCCTACCATATGTGTGTGACCCTCTATACCCAATATCGAGCTAGCCATGAGTCATACTTGTCATAACTCCTTCTAGCTCAGTGAATTATTATTTCTATAATAATTCACTCAACTCAACGATTGCAGACATACTAGGCCACTACGCCGTATTCCCCAAATGATACAAGGGAATCCAATCTATTGGACCTGTCTATCCTCAGTTATCGTGTACCTATAGTCTCTCATCCATCTAATATCTCAAAAATCATATACCGGGTATGGTACTATCAGACTCATACGGTTTCTACTCGAGTCTCGCTCTAATAGGATTCTCTTGGAGAACTCTTTCTCTCTCAATCCGAATGACCTTGACCAAGGATTTGTTTTAGCAAAAATATATAAGATATTTCTCTTATGACAACGAGAATAGAAGATCCTCTATTGACACTCAATAGCCCTCGTAAGATTAACTACCACTCCCGATGATCGGTTGTGCTAAATCCTCGAACATTCAAACCTATAAGTCTGGTATCAAAGAGTGGAGTACTCATACAGAACATCCTTGGTGTCTTAAGTCTAAGGACCAAGTACACCATTGGGACAATAGAATCACTATATGATAATGAAGTATCATTAACCATCCAGCATTCCGTGAGCGGATCAATCTGTGAACTCATTCTCCAATGAGCACCTACATTGTATTCCTAGTGTCTCCACACAAGCAGCTATGAGACCAACTACCTCTATCATATGGGCGGGTATATAGCATACTAGTATATCCGATTATCTCGATGTCCCTCTCGAGCAACCTATAATCAAGAATATTTAGGGTCTATGTTTAAAGGTGAAACGGTCTCATTATCGTGATCTCATCACGATTCGATTCCTATTGTATAGATCCATGGACATCACAATATATATATGCATATACGCAACAAGCAATATAAAGTGATAAAATACTAAATAATAATAAGAAAAAATACTACGTGTCAAGTCACACGTGCCATCACTCACATGATTGGCTTGTAGGGCACCTATGACTAGCAATCTCCCACTTAACCTAAAGCCAATCACCTTTGTGTCTGATCCCTATCAGATTCTTGTGACGCTCAAAGACAATCTGAGTCAATGGCTTTGTCAGTGAATCTGCAATGTTATCTTCGGATGGAACTCTTTTCACTATTATATCTCCTCGGGTTATGATCTCTCTGATCAGGTGGATCCTCCTCAAAACATTCTTAGACTTCTGATGAGACCTGGGTTCCTTCGCTTGAGCAATCGCTTTGTTGTTGTCACAATAGAAGAGAATTAGCTCATCCCTACCTAGCACGACTCTCATATCTATGATGAACTTCTTTATCCAGACTCCCTTCTTTGTTGCCTTTATTGCAGTAATGTACTCCGTCTTTGTAGTTGAGTTAGCAGTAGTATCTTGCTTGGAACTCTTCCAACATACTGCTTCTCCATTCAATGTGTACACATACTCTAAATTTGATATGCTATCATCGATATTGGATTAGAAACTCGAGTCTTTGTAGCCTTCAACCCTAAGGCTACTACCTCCATATACCAATAAAAGATCTTTAGTCCTTCTCAAGTACTTAAGGATATACTTTACTGCTTTCCAATACTCCAAGTTTGGATCCGTTTGATACTTGCTCGTGACACTTAGAGCTTGCACTATATCAAGCCTAGTATATAGCATGACATACATGATAGACCCTATCGTTGAAGCATATGGTATCCTATCCATGTTCTCCTTTCTTTAGGAGCCTTTGGGGATATACTCTTAGAAAAAGATATCCTATGTCTCATCAGTATGAGACATCTCTTGAAATTTTTCATACCAAACCTTTTGACAATGGTGTCTGTGTGCCTGGACTGGGACAAGTAAAGCATCATCTTGGATCTATCTATATAGATCCAAATCCCTAAGACATAAGATGCTTCCCCAAGTCCTTCATAGAGAAGTGTCTAAATAACCAAGCCTTTACTATGGATAGCATTCCCACATCATTCCCAATGATCAAGATGTCATCCACATATAACACTAAGAAGGTGATAACACTCCCACTTACCTTCCTATACACATAAGGCTCATCTTCGTTCTTAACGAAGTCACAAGATCTGATTGCCTCATCAAATCTTATGTTCTAACTTCGGGAAGCTTACTTTAGTCCATAAATAGACCTAAGCAACCTACACACTTTATTTGGGTAGTCCTTAGACACGAATCCCTCAAGCTGTATCATATATACTTCCTCCTTGAGGTTGCCATTGAGAAACGCGGTTTTCACATCCATCTGTCAGATCTTGTAATCATAGTGTGCTACAATAGCTAATAGAATTTAGATGAATTTTAGCATAGTTGCGGGTGAGAAGGTTTCATCATAGTCAACACCTTGCCTTTGACGATACCCTTTAGCAATTAGCCTTACTTTATAGGTCTTTCTTGAAGATCCACTTGCAACTAATGGGTACAATACCTTCCGGTGCTTCAACTAGGTTCTAAACCTTATTTAACTACATAGAATACATTTTAGAATTCATGGCTTCTTGTCACTTCCCAGAGTCTATACTCATAATAGCCTCATCGTAGGTCTGAGGATCAATATTCTCAACATCCTCTCTAATATGTCCCACATATCTTTCAGGAGTCGCGGAGGTCAACTGACCGATTGGGCAATAGGCCGTAAGAGAGGATGATGTACCGAATAATCGGATGAGGCATCGATAAACCAATGACATATCGGACAACATTTGATTAGCTTAGTATTAATTGTCTAGATCGAAGTAGATTTTAGGTGTGCAGGATTAACTATGATAGCAAGGCATAAAGCAAAATGAAGTCTCAGAGTCAAGGATGCGATTTTATTGGGAGTTTGAGAGTTCGTCGGAAGTCCGGACGTTCGTCGGAAGTTCTACCGGAATTAACTGAGAAGTCCAGGAGCTTACCAAAGAAGCTCATCGGAACTTGCAAGGAAGATTGTCGTGAACTCTAGGAGCTTGCCGGGAGTCCGCGGGAACATTGCCGAGGGATCGTCGGAAGTTCACCGAAAGATCACCGGAAGCTCGTCGGAAGAAACCTAGACTTATAGACTTGTTTAGCTTAGTAAATATCTTAGATTTCATAGTTAGCACATAATTAGGATTAGAATTAGGCCAACCAAATTAGGGGTCATTTGGGCCCATGTATGGAATGTGTTGGGCGCAATGAAAGGCCCAAACAATGACCTAACAAGTGGCA